ATCCCCAAGGTTTATCACTGGGCACTGGGCTTGCTGAGAAACTTTAACTGATTTGAGGGTGGTGAGAACCTAAGGTGGTACCTTCAAACTAGGGAAAGTTAGTAAAAGTGAGAAAAGATGGATAAGCAAAGCAGGGAGGGCAATCCTGTGTCAGTCAAGCCACACATCCGTCTGTGAGTCAAAATGTGAACTGGGGACCCTCTGGGGTTAAATCTCTGTCTTTGTTTGGGGTCGATTTTTTGCTGCACCACTCCAAGGGCAAAGCAAGCTGTTCAAGAGCATGGGATCTACAGAATCTAAAACAGAACCAAATCAATAGAGCTTTCCTTTGGAAACCTATAAATAGTTTCCTGAAATCACTCCTTTCCCTACAATCTTGGGAAACTATTTCCCGTGGCTCTCCTTAATGACATTGTTAGCTTTTCTACTCCATGTGAATAGCCCAGAACAGTGGTGAGCCCACAGGCCACCTAGAGTCAGGTGTTGTTGTTTTTGTTGTTGTTGTTAAGGGCTGTCTAGTCAGTTCTGACTCATAGCAACCCTGTATAGGAGTTGCTGTTGAGTTTGAACCTCCAACTTTATGGTTCAAACTGACCTTGAGGTTGAGTGTTTATCCTCTGGTGCCACACCAGGCCTCAGTTGTTGTTGTTGAGTGCCGTCAAGACAGTTTGGACTCATAGGGACCCTATATAGGTTTCCAAGGAGTAGCTGGTGGGTTTCAATCACCAACTGTGTGGCTAGCTACCCAACCTATAGGGCCACACCAGGATTCCAGAGTCAGTTGTTTGCTCTTGCAATTAATGCACTTTCTATCTTCTCTACAGGCCAGTGTGCATGGAGGAAGATGGGATGGTTTGTCATTGTTGTTGTTGTTGTTAAGTGCCATTGAGTCAATTCCAACTCATAGTGACCCTGTATCGGGTTTCTGAGGAGTAGCTGGTGGGTCTGAACTGTAGATCTTGTGGTTCACAGACCAGTGCTGATCCTACAGCACCATTGTTGTTGTTGTTGTTGTTGTTAAGTGCCGTCAAGTCAATTCTGACCCATAGCAACCCTGTATAGGGTTTCCAAGGAGTGGCTGGTGAGCTTGAACCATAGACCTTGCAATTCAAACTGGCTTTGCAGTCTGGCGCATTAACCCACAGCGCCACACCAGGACTCCATAGAGGCTTTAAAGTCTCTAAAGAAATGGCCAAACTCTATAATTAACTCTTGTAAGTGGCAAATGAGCACCCTTTGGAGTTTAGGCAGAGCCAGAGGACAGGCTGCTAGCTAAGGGAAGCTGGCCTATTAACTAGTTCCTTATCTCTTTCCCTTTGGAATTCTTCAACATCCCTGAACCCAGAAACACATGTGGTGCTGTAGAATAAGCGCAGGACCACAAGGTGGGTTTGAATACAAGGTTGGTGGTTCAAACATACCACCTGCTCCTTGGGAACCCTATACTGGTTCACTATGTGTTGGAACTAACTAGAGGGCATTTAATGACAACATTGACTCTCTTGAGAAGGACCTCTGGTGGACAATGGGTTAAGTATTCAGCTGCTAACTGAATGGGCAGTGATGCAAACCCTCCTGTCACCATGTGGGAGAAAGATGAGGCAGTCTGCTTCCGTAAAGCTTGACAGCCTTGGAAACCCTCTGGAGACTTCTACTCTGCCCTAGATGAGTTAGGGTCAACTTGAGGGTAGTGGGTTTTATTTTGTTTTGGTTTACTTTCTTAAGATCAAACCCAGACAAAAATTAAGCCTATTTTCCTTGCTTTTCTCACATGATTGAGCTCATCTAGGAAGCTAAACAGGGTTGGGCTTCATGCATACACTTTTGTAAGATGAGAAACAGATGCTGTACAAATTGTTTACATCCCTGTCTATTTCTCATAGTTTTTAACAGATTTATCTTATACCATCTGGGGATTTTCTTTTTGGAGGCCACATCTGCCTAAGTCTAAGAGTGTTTGGAATATGAAGTCAGTGAAAGCAAGTGTGTCAGGGATAACGGAAACAGACTTTCTGACACACATACGTGATCCACCTGGGCACTTTAAAAGGACTTAGTCCACCCATCTAAATACACATTAAAACAAACAACCCCCACCCCCAAATCACCGAAATAGAGTCAATTCTGACTCATAGTGTCCCAATATGTTGCTGTTCTTAAGTGCTGTCGAGTTGTTTTTGACCCACAGCAACCTTGTATAGGGTTTTTGAGGAGCCTCTGGTAGGCTTGAACTGCTGACCTTGTGATTCAAACTGACTTTGCAGTCCAGCACATTAACCCACAGCGCCACACCAGGACTCCCTGTAAATCTTTACAAGATTGAAATTCTTTATGGCAGTAGACAGCCTCATCTTTCTTCCATGGAGTGGTTGGTGGGTTTGAACCACCAACCTTGAAGTTAATGGCTCAACACTTAGCTCACAGGGCTCCTTTATATAAAACACACTAAAAACCATTGTCATCAAGTTGATTCTGACTCATAGTGACCCTGTATAGAATTTCCAAAGCTGTAAAACTTTTTGGGAGCAGAATGCCTCATCTTTCTCCCATGGAGCAGCTGGTGGGTTTGAATTGCTGACTTAACAGTTAGCAGCCCAGTGTATATCCTACAGCACCACCAGGGACTCCTAACAAATTCACATTTGTTGTTATTAAGTGCTGTCACATTTGTTTCAACTCATCATGACCCTGTATAGGGTTTTGGAGGAACAGCTGGTGGGTCTGAACTGCTGACCTTGTGGTTAGCAGTCCAGTGTTTATTCTGCAGTGTCACACCAGGGCACCACACACAAATACACATTGTTGTTGTTAATTGCCATCAAGTCGGTTCTGACCCCTACTGGTCCTTTATAGGGTTTCCAAGGATCGGCTGGTGAGTTTGAGTTCAAATGGCTTCGCAGTCTGGTGCACTGACCCATAGAACTCACCAGGACTCCAAATAATGGCTATGGTTATGTGCCGTGGAGTTGGTTCTGACTCATAGCGACCCTGTACAGGGTTTCTGAGGCTGTAAATCTTTACAGGAGTAGAAAGCCTCATCTTTCTCCTGAGGGAACAGCTGGTAGTTTTGAACTGCTAACATTGTTGTTGTTGCTGTTAAGTGCCGTCGAGTCGGTTCCGACCCATAGCGACCCTGTACAGGGTTTCCGAGGGTGTAAATCCTTACGGGAGTAGAAAGCCTCATCTTTCTCCCACGGAGCAGCTGGTAGTTTCGAACTGCTGACCTTATGGTTCGCAGCCCAATTCGTAACCACTACGCTACCAGAGCTCCTAACATTAGGAGACTGTTAATTTCTGAGGCACACAGATTATAGGATAGAATGCTCAGATTACCCAGTGAGTCTAGACACCAATTCTACTTCTCAACTTTGTTTTTACTTGGTTCTTTAATCCTTAGAATTCCCCTTTCATTGCCTGATGAGCCATTTGGATGCATGTCCTTGGCACTAGCCCTTGGCCATGACTTTGATGTTTGTGTTCTAGTCACATGAGTGCAGTCTAAAGACATTTGCCTTGATTTGGTGTAACTTACTAGCTAGGTTCACTTCTTTTCCATCCTTGTACCAGGATGGGTTCTGGAATGGGTTCTGGAAATCAACACCCTACCTCATGCCTCATATTGTTTACTGAAGCAATAGGAAGCTTTATCAGTGTTCTTTAAGGCACCTAAAATTGAGTGGCATGAATTTCCTATATTGTTGGAAATCATATTCACAGGAGCAAGCCTAAGTTGTTACAATTTGATGCACTCGACCTTTGCTTATGGATGTAGTGGTGGTGATGTGCTGTGGAATCGGTTCCGACTCATAGTGACCCTGTATTGGGTTTCTGAGGCTGTAAATCTTTCCAGGAGCAGAAAGCCTCATCCTTCTCCCGTGGAACAGCTGGTAGTTTCAAACTGCTGACCTTGAGGTTAGCAGCCTGATTTATAACCACTAACCACCAGCTCCTTTTGCTTATGGATGTAGTTGCTCAAAATTCCAACAAGAATGGAAGGATTCTTCATATTAAGGAACAAGCTTTCTCCTCGGTGCATTGGGTAGATAGGGATGGGCAATCTAGATATTGGCTATCAGAAATGGTGGTGGGGGAGAGGGACTATAAAGGCAGGAAGTGGCTGACGTACAAGCTTTCATGAATGTGTTTTGTTTCAGAATGAAAGGGATAAAGTAGATTCCCCACTGAATAGTTTTCCTCTTCTCCAGATGGATCTGGTGAAAGGGGATAGGGAATGATGCTGATGGGATTTTATGATTCAATTTAACTAATTGTTAGCAGGATTAATTTTGATTGTCACAACTGTAATTGTAGAAGATGTGTAATTAAAAGCTGGGCATAGTTCATCTTTAATTTCAGGAAGAACAGATGAACCCAGGTCCATTAAGAAGGAAGAGCATGAATGGAGCGTGGGATCCCTACCTCCATGTGGTGACAGCAGAGGCAGTGGCATGGAGAGATAGAGCAGCTTGGGGCTCTAGACCCAATGACTGAGGAAAGCTAAGGCTGTGTTGCCTGTGGGCAGGAGGCTGGCTTGCAGAATATGCCTTTAGGACATTTAAATGAATGTATATATTTATTTGTTTTGTATGTGTACATAAAATATTTTTGCTTTGTTCATTTATGAAATATAAGATGTAAAAGGGAAGTCACAAGGAGGCAGTCAGATAACTTATTGCAGGGAGGGGATTGTAATTATTGAGATGAAACAAAGTGTATAATTTGCTGAATGTAAAGCTGATGGTCTTGTCTGCTAAAACTTTCACTCAATTCACAACAAACAGCTAAAAAAAAAAGAAGGAAACAGAAAATCATACTCACAGGAAGAAAGGAAAAGATAGACTCATTTGTAAAAAAACAAACCATGATACTATATAGACTTCAACACAGTTGACTAGGATTTTAATGCTTTATTTGTATATGGTTTTCTTCTTTTGCCCCAAACCTAACACCATTCTCTATTCCTTGCTCCCAGAATAAAAACAAATGCAGGGACAACTTACTGTAAACTGGATTTGGCAACCACCCATGATGTAGTCCAAGAAAGAATGCATCTTGTGGATCTACACAGAAGGAGGAGAAAAGGAAACCAGGTTAGCAACAGCATGAGCTGTTTCCTCATAGACTAGAAGCCTGAGCATTGGAGGCAAGCTGCTAAAACTAGAGCAAAGATCAGGAAGAGATCTGTGGAGGAAAGATGGGTCTGTTGATGTTATTCCATTAAAGGACAGAAAGCAAGAGGCCTGTGAGGGCTGTATATTATCCACCTTTTGCTCCGCTCTCTTCCCTCTTTTGATTTATGCATTATTTTAATCAGCCACTCCCTATAGACTGAAAGCTATATTTTCAAGGGTTACTGGTCCTTTGAAATTAATAAAGTCTCACATTTGGCTTCTGGGCTTCTCTGTACTAAAGTCCACATCTGGTAATATTTGTAATATTGCAAGTAATCTAGATCTGCAACTTTAACGTCACGATTTCCTGAGGCCTTTACTGACAGTCTCCAGTTGCCAACATCCTCTCTCTTGCTGTGAAATACAAGACTAACATTTATTAAGCACTTATTATATGCTAGGCACTTAACATCCATTATCTTCTTAGAATAAGCTTATGAGAGTTAGTCTACATACTCCTATGAAAACTCTTGTTGTTAAGTGCCATCGAGTCAGTTCTAACTCATAGCAAGTTGAAGTGTAACTCATAGCAAGTTGAAGTGTAAACCCTGTCTAGGGTTTCTGAGGAGCAGCTGGTGGGTTTGAACTGCTGACCTTTCGGTTCGAGCCAACCTTGCCATCCAGTGCATTATTCTGCAGCACCACAAGTACTCCAATATTTGTTGTCAAGTACCGTTGAGTCAGTTCTGATTCATAGCAACCCTATTTAGGGTTTCCTAGGTTTCAATCTTTGTGGAAGCAGAAAGCCTCATTGTTCTCCCATGGAGCGGCTGGTGGAATTGAACAGGAGACTTTGTGGTTTGTAGTCTAGTGCTTATCGTATGGAACCACCATGCTCTCCATTATGAGGAAACTGAGATGGTAGAGTTGGGACTCAAATGATGGTGATTTAGAGTTTCTGACCTTTTTGCTGGGTGTCAGTATGATCCCTGCTTCCTGTCCAACTGACTTGGTGCTCTCTAAGCCTTATTGATTTTGGATCTTAATTTCTGTTTCTATATGATTCTGCTGCTTGGTTTTTGGTGACAGTCATCTATTCAACATATATTTATTGAGCACTCACCATACAGCACATACTAGGGTACAGTGATGACAGAAACAGACTTGGTGCCTATAGTCATGTAATTTATAGTCTGGAGCTATACCTGGTCCTTCTAACTGGTCAACCAGTAACTGGATTTTTGACCTTCACGTGTCAGAGTTTATCTGATGCTCAGAGCAGCTTTGCAGAGACCAAGGCACAAAATTCTGTGTTTGTCTTTCTAGGTACTACTTCTAGGTGGTTCACATCTATTGGCAGACCTTTCTCGGGGCTGGGTTTCACTTGGCCCTCTGAATAGCGCCTGCTCCTGGAGTTCTTAGGACAACACTCTGACAGATGAGATGGTTCGGATACCCTACCATTGCATATGTATCATGGAGATAACAACGTGTTAATGAAGGAAGTAACATTTGTCTCAGAGTTCAAGTGTAAGAGCACCTGGTAGAGAATCAAAACAGGTAGAAACACAGTCGCCCTAGGACCCAGGCAACCATTTAATTAGTACATTTAAATATTTTCTTCTGCTCTGCTAGCCAAAGAGATGGTCATGGAAACCCAGATAGCCAGTCATAATAAAGGCATACCTTGAAGATATCGCAGGTTCTGTTCTAGAGTACTGCAATCAATGGGGTATCACAAAAAAGCAAGTTACATACAATTTTTTCATTTCTCAGAGTATACACAAATTATATTTGTACCATACTGTAATCTATTAAATGTTCACTAGCATTATGGAAAGTTTTGAAGTATTGTGAGAATTAACAAAATGTAACACAGAAACATGAAGTGAGCACATGTTATTGGAGAAAAAGCACCATTAGACGTGCTTGATGCAGGGTTGCCACAAACCTTCAATTTGTAAAAATTCTAATGTCTGCTAACCACAGTAAAGTCAAACCCAATAAAATAATGTATGCTTGTACAGCATAACTTCAGCCCCAGTTATTGGATCAAGGGGTAGGCATGTGACCCAAATTAGACCAATCAGTCTTATCCTTTGCTCTCATGTTATGTAAGACTGTGGTCCTGCAAGTTTTGGCAGCTATAGAGAGGCCAATCTGAGAGAAGGAAACATATATATATAGAGAGAGAGAGAAGGAAAGAGTGAGCGAGAGGGAGACGGTGTTCAAGTCCTACATGGTGGATTCAGATACACCTGAGTTAAAATCTCAGTTCGAACACTTACCACCACTCGTGTGATGCTGATCTAGTTCCAATACATCACTGGAAAGTAGAAATCTCAGGATTGTGATATTAAGTAAAAAGAAATGTTTATAATTATGCATACATAGTAAGTACTCAATCAATCATTGGCAGAATTGCTCTCCAATGTGACTTAGAAAGAGTTTTAATTATTGGCACAAACTTGGAGCTGCTTGGAGAAAAATTTCTAGGTCCTTTGACCTCCCTCCTTTGTCTGTGTTTATGGTACCTTCTTAGCATATGTGGGAACCCTGGGGTGGCGCTGCAAGTTAATACGCTGGAATGTGAAGTCAGTTTGAACCACAAGGTTGGCGGTTCAAGCTCACCAGCTGCTCCTTGGAAACCCTATACAAGGTCGCTATGGTTGGAACCGACTCGATGGCACTTAACAACAGTGAATACTGTGAACACTGTTACATATTGCGGGAGTTCTTAAAAGTTGACTGCCCCCTTTAGGGCTCTCCCTCAGCTGCTACCCTGAGCAGAGAAGAGCCCCACCTGTGACCAGCACTGTCCTGTGGAGAAAATAGTGGTACTAGGTCACCACAGCTCCAAGACCACCCATGCTTACATTTCTCATTGTATTTCTACATTAATACAATTGACTTTCTAATTTTTATTTTTTAAAATGACAATTTCTTCTTCACACTCTTTCCCCCTGATTATACAACCTGAGCTCTTTCCCTGAGACAGCCCTGTCTCTTTATACTTTTGGAAGAAAGGGCTGCATACATACCTTGCAAAGATTCAGAATCACAGTGCCTGAGTTCTTGTAATTCTTCTTCTTAGCTTTGTATTTCGGGTTGATGCACTCCCACTGTACCTGAAACAAGAGAAGCCACAAGAGAGCCTGTTTGGGAAAAAGGTGACTCATTCAATAGAGCCAAGCCACCAGGTGCTGCTGTGGATAAACTGAAGGGCTAACAAATGGTCTCTAGGTGGACAACCTTGCCTCCATAAGGTGCATGATGGAGAATAATGGAGAATGCAGACAATGGAACTAGACTCCCTGGTTTGAATCCCTCCACTCCTCAGCTGTCTGACCTTTGGCAAATTATTCCATCTCTCTGTTTGGACCTCTCCTCTACAAAAAGGAGTTCATAATGGTATCACTCTCCTAGGATTATTACAAGGACTAAATAATTCATACATGTAATGCACTTAGAATGATACCTGGCACATATAAATGCTTACTATTAACAGGGTCAAATCGGGCAGCAGAGAGAAAAGATGTGCAGAAATAGCTGAGTGGTGCCCAAGTGCTGAGTCTCAGTGCCTGGGAGTTGATGTAAAAGGTAGGAAAATTGAGGAGTGCTGAATATTGGCTCCGGGAAGTTAATGGGAGACAATAATGAGTTTATACAGAACTTCTCTGAGAATGAAAATAATGAATTTATATATGTCACATTAGTGGCATAGTAGTTCTCTAGGGGACTTCCAAAATGGCCTCTTCAGGGGATGGCATTAGAGCTGCAAGAGGAGTTGGGAACTGAAGAACTTACCTGGGAGCTAAGGGGTTACCTAGGGGAACAGATGTCAAATTTTTCTAGCCTACGGTTGATTTCATGGGACAAAATCAACTGTGTGTCAAACAATTAAGAGTCTGAATGTTAGTTTATTTCTATCCAGTCTGTTCACATCCATGGAATTCTGGTGATGCAGTGGTTAAGCACTTGGCTGTTTGCAGTAGAAGGATGTGGTGATCTGCTTCTATAAAGATTGCAGCCTTGGAAACCCAGTGGGGGCAGTTCTACTCTGTCCTCTAGGCTTGCTATCTACTTGACTGGTATTGGTTTGGGTTTGGGTTGGATGTCACATTGCAGATAAATGCACTGGACCTCAAGGTCAGTTTGAACTGCAAAGTTGGCAGTTCAAATCCACCAGCTGCTCCTCAGAAACCCTAGACAGGGTCACTCTTAGTTGAAACCAACTTGATGGCACTTAACAAAAACAACAATGAAATTTATTTGAAAGAAGCAATTTGAACAATGAATTGGGACATCTTCTCTAACAAGCACCTGCACAGGCCAGGCACAGTGTCATCTCCAAGGGAAAGGAACTTTTTCCAAGTCGCTGAACCTTCTGCTCCAGCCCCTTTATGCATTTGGAAACAGTTAGACCCAGAATAAGAATGAGTTCCCTCAGAAGCAAACCCCGAAGCAACAATTCAAGTGCAAGTAGCTCATTTAGGTGGAGTTCTGGTGACCAGAGGCTAAAGTGCTTGGCTACCAACCAAAAGTAAGTAGTTCGAATCCACCAGCCATCTCATGGAAGAAAGATACAGCAGTCTGCTTCCACAAAGATTTACAGACTTGGGATCCCTATGGGAAAAGTTCTCCTCTGTCCTACAGGGTCACTGTGAGTTGGAATCAACTCCACAGCAGTGAGTTTGGTGTCATTTAGTGCATTTGGGAGGTAATAGCAAAAAGCACCAGTACCAAGTAGGGAATTAAAATAGAGACACAAAGGCCGCCAAATATGGGTACATTCTAAAGATAATTTGCTAGAGAAAGATGAAGCTGTCTACTCTGTAAAGATTTACAGTCTCAAAAACCCTCTGTCAGGTCATTAATGCCACCAAGTCATGGAAACAGAGCTCTAATGACTATTAATAGCAAATGTCTGGAAATTGATTAGCTAGCTCTATGCTAGGTCCTCTGCTACGTGCATACCACAGATAATCTCATTTAATCCTTATGATAATTCTCTGAGGCAAGTACAAATATTGCCTTCTCAGAAAGCTGAGACACAGAGGGATTAAGTCACTTGTCCAAGACTTTACAACTAAAGAAGATTAAAGATATTCTCAAGTAACACCTGCATTTTACTGAGGTGGAAACTGCCATATTGGTGCAATGTCATATTGAAGGTCACGCAATCGTTTGGGTTAGGCCAGAACAAGAATCAAGGTACTCCATTCTCCTCACATTTGATCCTATATTGATAACTCACTGCCAGGTATTTCACAGGTTGCTGGATAGGAGTGTCTGGGGAAATCACACAAATGAATCTCTACATACCTGCTTCCCTTCCAATGCTCCCCTCATCTCCTTGAATGTTGAGGTGAATTCTCCAATGAAGTCATGTTTGCCATTGGAGTCCCAGTCCCATACTATGCACTGCAAGAGAAAAGAAGATTTTTTTTTTTTAAAGAATGCAGCCATAACATCTGAAGACAGTGTGAACCTCATCTGAAATCACAGAAGATAGAACATAATCTTCCTTGCTTCTATGACCCTTTAGACTCTTGTAGGTATTGTAGGATAAGCACTGGACTGCAGACCACAAGATCAGCAGTTCAAACTCACCAGCTGCTTCTCGGAAACCCCATATTGGATTGCTATGAATTGGAATGGACTCAAAGTCACTTAACAAACAACATAACTCTTTAATTAGTCACAGTCTCCAAGCAACCCTGTGATGCAGCGATAACTGTAATAATTTATTATTTTTTCAGGAGACTCAGAGGAAATAAGTCACTTAACAAAGGGACCATTTAAGCAATGAGAATCTGGGAGTAAAAGGTAGGTGTCCTGACTAATTTCAGTGCTCTTTTTCCCATGTGTCTTCTGTTGAGTCAATCTTGACCCCATGTGTTACAGAGTAGAATTTCTCCATAGGGTTTTCTTGGCTGGAGCTATGGTAGCGTAGTGGTTATGAATTGGGCTGCCAACCTCAAGGTCAGTAGTTCGAAACTAACAGCTGTTCCGTGGGAGAAAGATGAGGCACTCTGCTCCCGTAAAGATTTACAGCCTTGGAAACCCTGTGCAGGGTCACTATGAGTCAGAATGGACTCCACAGTACTTAACAACAACAACCTAAAGGGTGGCGGTTTGAACTTTCATAATTTTTATGGAAGCAGATCTCCAGACTTTACTTTGGTGGCATTGCTAGGAGGGTTAGAATAGTAGCCAAGAGCAAACCTTATGCGACCGATTGGTACCCTGGTTTAAAGCTGGAATCAGATGTCTGAGACTGTATCTGGGGCACCAACAATGGCAATGTATTGTAATGTTTTGAATGAAATCACATCAATCATATTTTTCTTTTCATTTTCCCCTCTAAAGACTAAAGAATGATGTCAATAAAAATGAGTAAAAAGCATCAAGAACAAAAAAAATTTAAAAGAAGGCAATCCCTTTAACTCTGCAGACATGAAAAACGGGTGTAAAATGGTGACAGATAAAGACATATTTGTAAATATCAGAAATCTACCAAAATGTAACCAATCATTTCTAACAACAGAATTCCCTCTAAAAATGTTAAGGATCAGATCTGGGCTTCTAAGCAACACATTGTCAAATGTCTTTGACTAAATCAGCACCCAATTTCTGCATGGCTACATATGCTTAGAGGAAGGAGAAGCGCTGCATTTTTTTTTTTTTTCAGGTAAAGGTTGGACTACATCTTTTTTTTGGATAAATTATGAAATTTATTTATATTTCACCTTTAAAAGTCAGAACATAACAAATTTCACTTTCTGGAAAGTCATCTTATTAGAAGTACATGAAGTATAATTAATATAGGAAAATAAGTCAAGTTTCTCTGAACCCCAGCAAGCTGAATGTGCTTAAATCAGACGGGTTTCCTCTAAACTCCCTCCAGACAGAGGGATTGACAGAGACAATCTAAATTCGGAAGGGCTGAATGAACTTCTCTAGAACAACAGTGAAGCAGCCGACCTAAATGGTGGGGCTCTCGTGATCAACAGCACCTTTAAGAAGCTATTGCCTTGATGGACTCCAGCCGCCCTTCACTGGCCAATAGGGAGGACCACAGCAACAGCAGACCCAGGCTGGCGCACTTCTGTTACCTGCAGCCTCAACTACTGACTGGAAACCGCTCCATGTTCAGAATCAACTTGTTTAACATGACACAAACACACACACAAAAGGAACTAATTTAATGTGCCTTTTGGTTGATGAGAGTTTCTGTTTCCACAGAGCAGGCTGACAAGTCTTGTATTTAATACTGTGAACGATCTTGAACTTAGGGGTTCCTGACCTGTTACTAAAGTAAGTTTCCAGAGGACAGCTTTTATCAACGGCTGCTCACCGGAAAGTGTGTCTCTTTTAGGAACATGTGTCTTGTCCCAACAGGTAATGGGGTGCCATCAGATTGCCTATAACCTTTCTCTGCATTTGGAGGGAAAGCATACACACCCCCATCTATAGGTGAAAACCATTTCATGAGGAAACCATCTGCAACAGGAAAACAATGCTCCGTCTAATCTAAGTCACCAACTAGAATAGAACCAGTATCTGTTGGAACCCCCCAGCTCTTGCTTCTCATTCAGTACTCCTTTTCTGGACAAGACTATAAGCAAGCCCCCAGATACAGAGGTCAGCCTCATGCAGTCTTGTGAAAATAGCTCATGAGTCTGAAAATCAGAACCAAACAGCTATGACCCTCCCAGCTCTCTTAGCTGACCCTCTTCCCCATTATGGAAACACTGGCTTTAACTTTCCTAATCTAGAAGCTCTTCCTTTCCCACTAAAAATACATGGTCATACCTTATCCTAAAAGGGCACCATTGCAGGCATTGAAGACTGACCAGTTCATGGGAAGGCTGAGCAGGAGGAGGAAGGGTCACTACACAAACCTTCCAGCAGTAGGACCCCAGTGCTTCATCACTACCCAGTGAACTATTGCCAAGGACAAAGAGGTTCTGGTCTCATTACGCTATCTGTAGCCCAGAGAAGATCCTGGTTGGCTCAGAGGACCCACAAGGTGAACACTGGACTTCAGGGATATTGAGACAAGAACAGGTGGTGGTGGCAAGAGGGGGCAGAATCTCCAGGAAGTAACCAGGAATTAACATAAGACTAAACTATGGAACAAACAAAATTAAAAGGAGGGGAAGACAGCTTTAGTAAGAGCCTGCAGGAAAGAGGGGACACTGACCTGGGGTCCCAATTTCCCCTGTCAGAAGGGCCCTGTCCTTAATGCCATGGTTCACTTCAAGGTCTGTTGCCCATTGAAGGTGGGTGAGTCCAAAATTTCACATTTCATGTGGAAGCTCTGGAAGTGGAGATGCACAGCAGGGATGGATCACTGGTCCATGACGTAGCGCTGCCACACTGGTTCTCTTCATCTACATCAGAATCCACAAAAGTGTCATGTGTAGCCTGGTGCCGGGCACTGGATGTGCTCTATGAAGTTGGCGCTGCAGTAGTTGGGGTATCTCCACGGCATCGAGGCACATATCGGATGCACCACAGACTTGGTGTCTGAGCTATAGAATATTCTGCAGTGTTCCACAAGTCCTTCCTGGTCAAAGTTCTTCTCAGGACACTAAGGGCAAGGAAAAGTGTAATGGTTTGGGATATTCCTTGGCTAGAGGGATGCATCCTTAGTGGTGGCTTTCACACCTTCCATAATGTAGTTCTGGTATTTGGAACAGGTAGTCATGTGGGCCCGAATCTTGGATAGGAAGAAATTTTTATGGCCGCCATGGCAAGAAGTCTCTGTGCTCTCACGCTGCTGCTCAAGCTCTGCGGATCGGGCGCTAGGGGCCAGAGTGCTGCGACATACCCTACAGACAGGTTTCCTCAGCTTCAGACACTGCAGATATGCAGAACAAAAGACGTGTCTGCAGGGCACCTGCACTGGCTTCTCATATACCTCCAAGCACATGGACACATGAAGCGGGCCTGGGGTGACCTTCCGCCTCCAAGGGCCCAGCCAATTGCGCGAGGCCTTTGCAATCCGGCTGCTGTGTCACCATCTTTCTGCTCTAGACTACCTCTTAAGCACTTCAGCTATGTCTAGTGCATCTTAAAGGAGCCCTGGTGGTGTATTTAAGTACTAGGCTGCTAACTGAAAGACTGACGCTTCAAACCACCAGCTGCTCCACCAGAGAAAGATGTGGCAGTTTGCTTCTGTCAAGATTACAGCCTTGGCACTTCCTCAGAAAGTTGGAAATAGAAATACCATATGATCCAGCAATTCCTCTATTTGATACATATTCACAAGAAATACGAGCCAAAACATGAGTAGATGTATGCACACCAGTGTTCATAGCAGCACTATTCACAATAGCAAATGTTGTTGTTGTTGTAAGGTGCCATCTCAGCACCAACTCATAGAGACCCTATGTACAACAGAATGAAACACTGCCCAGTCCTGGGCCAACTTCACAATTGTTTCCACGCTTGAGCCCATTGTTGTTGCCACTTTGCCAATCCATCTTGCTGGGGATCTTCCTCTTTTTCTCTGACCCTCCACCCTACCAAACATGACTGGTCCCTCCTGATAATATGTCCGAAGTAAGAGAGATGAAGTTTGGCCATCCTGGCCTCCAAGGAGCACTCTGACTGCACTTCTTCCAACACAGTCTGTTCTTTTGGCAGCCTGCGGAACTTTCAATATTCTCCTACAACACCACAACTCAAAAGCATCAATTCTTCTATGGTCTTCCTTATTCATTGTCCAACTTTCACATGCATATTACTAAAAAATACTATGGCTTTGGTCAGGCACACCTTAGTCCTCAAGCTGACATATTTGCTCTTCAACACTTTAAGCAAATGATGGAAATAGCCTAAGTGTCCATCAGTGGAAGAATGGGTAAACAAACTTTGGTACAAACACACAATGGAATATTACGCTACCTAGAAGAATAACAAGGAAGCTACATGCCACCAAATAACATGGATGAGCCTTGAGGACATTATGCTGAGTAAAATCAGTCAGTCACAAAAGGAGAAATACTGAATAAGACCATTATTGTAAAAGCTTAAGAAAAGATACCCATACTAAAAGGGGGGGGGGAACTTTGTTGGTTACTGGTGGGGATGCGGTGGGGGGTTAGTGGGTGGAGGGAGAGGATGGTAGAGCACAGGGTAGTGAGTAGACACATCAGAGTTCAGGTGTTGGGGAGGGCAGTACACAAGAAGGGGGAAGGGATGGAAGAATGAAGAAGACAGGGGAACCCTGAGGCAGGTTTGCATGGGCTAAATGGGACAGAGGTAAATAGTGATTTATGCTCAACCTTGAGACAACAGCGCTCTGTGATACAGGGATCGAGGCATAGTCTAAAGAGGGGAAATAATGTTAAGATGCATGACCGACTTATGAATATTGGTTTCCCTTGCCTACTATTATAAAATAGACACTT